ACACACACACACACACACACACACACAAAGATAAGTGGAAAGTAAACAAACATACAAAAAGAACCCCAAAAAGGATTCACCAACAATGAAGGGTTTGCTGCCACAAAGAGTGGCAGGATCATTGAAAAAGCCACAGTTACAAGATCCAGCCACAATTCTATTTCAAAACCATAGGAAAAAACATTAAATAACAAGAACTTAAAAAATTCTATGAGCTTTTTTGAGGGATCTGTTAGAAAAGAAACAATCTGAACAAAAGACTGGGGAGACTTTAAAAATATACTTAACTGAAAATCTAAGATTATAACTAAGATAGGGACAGGTAGAAAGATAATGTATAATAAATAATGCTGATATGTATTATATATTCTAAAAAGTAAAAGTAACAACTAAAAATAAGAGAAGGGAAATAGAAGTAGAATAAACTCATTAAATGGCATTTAGGCAACAAAGGAAAATTAAAGGATCTCATTAAAAGTGGCTAATTCTAGATTCTAAATTCAAAATAGGGAAATAAGGAAATTAAAACATACAAGCATAAAAATAACCAGGTTTAGACATTTGGGTTGTTCCTTCTCTTTAACTATTAGACTATATGACAAGTTGTAATGCAAATGTGGTTTCAATTTTTTGGATTCAGAGCTACGAATCACAACTCTAGGTCCCATGACACTCATATTATACCTGAGTTGGTACACCTGATGGTGTCTCAGAGAATCTATGAGCATCTCTTAATCCTTTCTTTTCCGATCCCCAATTGGATAATCTCAGCTGACCTATCTGGTTCACCAAGTATTCTTTTACCTACATACTATTTAGCCCCTTTTTTGAATTATAGTAATTATCCTTCCAAATCCACAATTTTCTTGGCTCTTCTTTACAATTTTTCATTTTGGCATTCTCTATTTGGTGAGACATTGCTCTCACTTTCTTAGAGTTCTTTGACCTGTTTATTTAAAAGTCCCTCCCATGCCTTTGTTAAGTGTACAGTCTGTGCTTCCTCAAACAGAATTTGCATTGATGGCCTTCTTCCCTCAATGCAAAGACCATCCTCTGTTGTACACGTCTCACTTTGCTGAAACTTTGGGACATATTAACTAATTTAATGCTGCACTTTTGTAGGTCAACTTCTGTCCAGGGCATGTGGTTATTTTGTTTTCTAACAAGTGGCTTTTGCTGAACTCCTGTGGACTCCTGTGTTGTATATGGCCACTGAAGTCTGCTTCATTTGGTTTAGTGGAGTGCTAATAATTGGACAGATTTCCTTAATGCCTAGAATCAATACTTCTCTTTGTTGAGGAGATTCTGTGTGTTGGTGCGTGTCTTCATCATGTGACCAGGAAAGTGACAATATCCCCTTAGCTTTCACTTGTCGTTGGTGCAGGGCCTCAAACTCAGCTGGTAAGAGTTTAGTCTCCCAGCTCTTTCTTGAGAATGTACACAACCTTGTTACATCTGATTCCAAGAAATATGCCAGAACTTTTCAAGCTCCCTATGGAGATTAAATTTTCCAAATTTCCTTTTAAGCTTATTGGCTAACTTATGGCTTACCTCAATAGTCATCCACTGTCTGAAGCAGCCTTCCCTGACTGTTTCTGAAAAGCTATCTTAGGGAAAAGGGTTATCACACTGAGCAAGCTCTGACTCACATCAATTAAAGACAGCCTCACTAGTGGATGTGTACAACCAGATAGGTCAGATAACAGTAGTTCTTAAGAGTGTGTATTCGAAGATGCTCCAGACCTGTCCTGCTCCTGCTAGTGATTGACAGGCTGCCAGTTTTCGTTATGATTGTGGACTGCTGGTTTTCAAGGTTACCAGGGGTCTGGAGAGTACGGGTTGGGAACAGGGCAAGTGAAGATGTGACAAGCATCATGATTTTTATCAAGATTCAGATATATTTCTTGAATAAATATTCCTTGGATTCCTGTAAACCTTTTGATTAGAGTTCTCAAAAAGGCTGATTCTAATAGTTTGAATAATATAACAACTGTTTTTAAAGGGAGGTTTTCAGATATTCATATTTTGCCATTTCCTCTGTTCACATCCCAGGTAAAGCTCACATACTTTTAAGATCTTATCTCTCATTTTTCAAACAATAGCTCCAAACAAATATTGAACTCAGATAGTTGACACCACTTTTGAAGAGGTATCAGATAGCAATTCTGAGACTAACTTCTGCATATTCTAGAATTAAGCAAATATGTAAATATATTGAGAAATGGGAACCAGATTCAGCACTGTAAGAGATTTATGTGTCAAGAGGTCAGAGGCGAGAGCTTGAAAAGGCTCTCATTAGACAAATTATGTACAATTTTATTGTCAAAATTAAATAACGAAGGACTTCTCTCTCTTTTTTTGGTTACCTGGGATCAAACTCAAGACCTTACTATTTCAAGGCAGGTGGCAGCACCACTAAGCTAAATCCCCTGCCCAAGACTTCTGTTTCTGATCACCATGAAATAGTAGGGCCTAGATTTGACCTTCTACATGGAACAACTAAAAGACTGGACAAAATATATGAAACAACAGCATTCAGACAATGAACAACAGGTAGCACAGGACAGCAATACCTGAGAAGGAATGCACTAAATACTACAAGTACACTAGCTCATTGTGTGAAGAGTGCCCAACTACAGCAGAGAGGGAAGGAACACCAAAAGACCTTTGTTGGCTTTACTGAAGAGACAAAGTTCAGAATTCTAGTAGGATAATGTAATTACAATCGGTGAGGCAAAATACTGGCAAGGAAGAATATGGGAAGAAAGAAAAATGTTCCCCATAAGAATACCTGCACGTCTTTGGAAAACTGATCTGTGCTATGTAAATGAAGAATCTATCAAGGCTGTGGGGGAGGGGATGGGGCTGAAATTGGAACACTCCTAGAGGCTTACACAGTCCCAGATGTAGATTGTGATGTTACCTGCCATGACAGAAACACTTCCTAATAAAGTAACAGGTATGGTTATTAGAAAGGCAATGGCTCAGTAAGAGGGGCCAAATGAGCCCCAGACCAGGATTTCTCAGCACTATTAAATATTTTGAAAGACTTATTGTTTAAGTTCTGCAGAAAGTTAGCAGCTTCCCTGGTCTTCTGGATGCAGAACCTCCCCTTGCATCTCACAACCCCAAATATCTCCAGATGTTCCCAAATGAGCCTTATGACAAAACCGCCAAGTTGAGAATCACACACCTAGACTAATTTCTGTTCTAGATCCTTCTAAAAAAGCATACACTTCAAATGGACAAATGTGAGTCTAAGTAACTTTACTGCAGTCTTGAATAAAATCCAACAGTACTTTCTATGAAGCAAAATTTAACAGCCAACAAATGCAACACTCCTTAACTCCTTTCAGTTGGAGCAAGAAGTCTTGGACAGACCTGGCAGGCTGGATGTAGTGCTCTCAAATCTACAGTCTGACAAAGTTTGGGAGTTTCACTGTGGAATTATATCAAAATAATAATTTAAAAGAAAAAAAGTAAAAACAATTAGACTCAAAGCAAAATAATTTTCTTTCTGCATATTCTCTTAAACTCCATTGTTCTAGTTATCTAAATTTTTAAAGTCTTAAAAGAGTTAGAGATGACTTCTATGTTCAGACTAACCAGATGATCTTACCTTCCATGAACAGTAACTAACAGAGTAAACATGGAACTTAGCATTGTTTAATCAATAACCTTTCACATCTTACAGAGTAGTAAAAAGTAAAACATTTGAAGGTAAGTTGAAAATCTTGTTTTCCTTTTAAGTAACAGCACTGTAAAATATAAAGCAGCGCCTCCTCAGGGAGGAAGCTCCTAACTTTTCTGCTCAGCCCTCAGTGGAAAGGCTTTCAGTTCCACCTCCTTCGAGAATTTGTTCTGCAAATTATAATCTACAGCACTTCAAAAAATGTTTCTATGAGACTAAATGGTCAAAAAACTAGACATTACACATTCTTGACTTCAAGGAAATACTTCTATACAGTAAAATGTAAAACTGATTTTTGGCTGTTTCTGCATTTAAACAAGTTGCCTAAATGACTGAAATGTAATTAAGAAACCTTCTGAAAAACTATTTTAGGATAGTGAAAATGTATATAAATACAAATAATCAAAACTAAACTAAAAATATTTACATAATATTATCTGTACACCAAGAATAAAAGTTATTATTTTTGGCTTCCTAACAAGAATAACTTATAACCAATGTGATCTATTTTAAGTAATTATGATTTCTTCATGTATTATTTATCATCATTTTAACTATAGTTTGATATTTCAAGGCTGAACGAGGAAAATATACTTCATGATAAGCCCCAATGAGAAAAGTTTAGATTGCTACAATCTCCAAATTCTCTTATGGAAGTAATAAGTTGGGGCATACCATTAAAATGAATTCAAGTAGGCACTCAATTTATAATAGGCTTAAACAAACTCACCCCAAAAAATAAAAAGCAGGCATTCTTACGCCCTCCAGAGAGAATAAAAAATACAATTTGAAATAATAGATAAAAAAGAATGTATTTTAGAGAGTTCGCAAAAAGAGGCACTAATCAATCATCAAATGTAATTTTTTTCCCCTGAAACACAGCAATTTTGGATTGTTGTTCTTTTCGCTTTCTGCTTGCTTCCCATGAAGGATGAAGAGGTGCATTTAGCTGTTTTGCATTTTTAAGTCCTCTTTGTATGTTGTTTTTAAACTGGTTCTTAATTGGAGGTTCATTTTCTGGAAACTCTATGAAGAGAAAGCAAAAATAATAAAAGCTATACCCAAAAGTTCATAAAAGAAATAGCTTTCATCTTCACACAAATTATTTAGGAAGGAATTTTAAAGAAAATACCTAAAAATTTAAAAATGAAATCCAACAGAGAAGTCTGAAATTAAAATTTTTACATATGGTCAGTTAATTTTGGGATACAGGCTTTGCATCCCTTGTAAACGCAGGTTTACTGAGAGCCTCCTGACACATGCTGTGCTGTCGTAATTATGATGACATTAAGAAAGAGTGCCACCAAACACAAGGGCCAATACAAATTTTAAACTACACTGATAATTACATGATCTTTTGTTTAAATTTCTGTGGGTACAAATTCATCCCAACTATTAAGCCATTTTTAATGTTTCATCCTTCTAGTTTGCCAAAGCACTGCTTGTACTAGGTGTCCAGGAATCATTCATACATACCTGAGACCGTGCTTTTTGGAACTTGTTCTCTATGTTCCCTAAAAGAAGAAAACCATCATTATAATTTTTAAAAGATACAGTAAATTAATTCTCTGACTCTAGGGAAATAACAGAAAATAGACAATAAAATTCATGCACAGTATTATCAAACTCCCTCATCCCACCAAAAATTAAAAGAACTTGCATTTTAGCTACATCAAAGATATGTTAGATTTTAATATTACAACAGATACAAAGGGACTATTTCTTTTTCCACTCTTATAGGCCCTTCTGTTTGTAACTGAAAAACTGCTCTCTCCTGCTCTAAGGGACTATTTAGATGAAGAATTTCAAAAGTCTTCTATTAAGGAAAATAAGACATATAAAACAAAACCTAAGATTTACACTTTGTTAGAAGGGTTAGCGGTATATCAATTTCAAATGCAGAAAAACTATATTCTATCAAGGGAGAATTGGGAGGTTTAAATATTGTAATTACTTTTAAGGCTTCAAAAATGGTTGCATTTTCTGTATTCTTTAGATAATTTCTCTACCAGATTTCTTATTCCATAAAAGAGTATCTCTGACCCATAGATACACAAACTGAAGAAACAGCTGTTATCGAAGAAATTACCCAACCATGATGTTTAGTCTAAAATATGAAGATAGCCTCATTCAGCATAGAATATTAAATGAAATTAAACATACAGGTTTATAACAGAATTGTTATGACAAGTGATGATTAACAGCAGGGAGGAAGACAGCAGTATTATCTAATATAAAACAGCTTGGAGGAACTAAGTGTTAAGCAATGTTATGTACTGAAATAGAGTTATCTAGTGAAAAGATACACGGTACAATTATTGATGTTGGCAATAATGATCCTGGATTATCAAGAAAAATCATATTCTTTTCAGAACGTTTTGTTTAAATAGACATGTAAAACATTTTTTCAAAAGTTCTTCGGGGGCCGGGGATTTAGCTCAGTGGTGCTGTATCTGCCTGGTAAGCACAAGGTTACTGAGTTCAATCCCCGGTACCCCTCATCATAAAAGTTCTTCATCTAAAATTAACTCAGAATTTCAAAACTTTGCTCATTGAAAAAATAAAACAAGTTAGCCAGGCATTTGGCTGCAACATCTCATTTTATGATGAATCTGGGAGAAAGGTGGCATTGCCATGTGTGTATTTGTATATGTTATCTCACCATAAAGTTGGGAAAGGTTAAGCGTAAAGACAGGATGAAGTACACAACATAATTCTCCATCAGAAATGTTTCTTGCGTGCCTGTTGAAAATATGTATCTATTTCTTATCTTAAAAAAAACAACTAATAATTATTTCAGAATGAAAAATTACCTTTTAGAACTTTTAGATCCACATAAAGAGTGAAAAAACAGTGATTCTAACTTCCTGGCTTCTGTACTTGGCTTGTTTTTATCATTTCTCCTTCTGAAACCACAATCCCAGTGAATGTCACAAATATCTTCCTTGGGTAACACTTGGGAGAGAGGTTTTTGTTCTTTAGCTGAAGTATGGCTACAATTTTCCTTTTTTCGCGTCTGTCTGGCTTTTCCGATGAAGAAGTCATCACCACTATCACTATCTTCAGATATGGAAGACTGTTTGTAGAACCTTTCTTCTGTGCTGTCATCAAAATATTCCTTTTCTTCTTCATATAATTGTTCTTCGCTATCGCTGTCATCACCAAGCAAGTTATCAGATCCTTTCTTTTTATTTAATGTTTTCATGTAGGGGTCAGCAGGTGTCTTCTGGGCCTGAAGGATAACTACAGAATCCTTTTCTAAAAGCTTTGACGGAGAATTTGGAATGTTCACTGTTTTGGGTCCATGTTCTCTCATGGCCACCTTTTCTTTTGAATTATTTATTGGTTTCTTTGTCTGTATTTTGGCTTCTTTCACTTTGTGCTCAGTGGGCTTAGTTCTTTCATGCTCAGACTTACTTTCTTCTTCATCTGAACACACAGTGTCCTTAGAATGATTTCCTTCTGTAGTATCCTTAACTTCAGTAGTATTTTGTCTTGCATCTTTAAAGGATTGGACAGCAGCTGCAAGAAAATAGTACAGGACTTGTTTATGCATTGAAACATAAATATGAGTTTTAGTATAGTATTTCTTAATTATTTGGAAACTTAAGAGAGTAGTTGGAATTTAAATTAAGACATGCTCAAATATACCTATTTTTAAGCTGCCAAATGAAAAGAATTCTCCCTTTCTTCATGTGTTAGAATTAGGAAGAATGGTAAAAATGTCACTAAATATAAATAAAGTAAAATGGTATTTTTAATTTCAGTGATAATAATGTATTGGATATTACAAAATATACTTTCAGACATAAAAATAATCTGTGATAACAGCACTCAATTCTATATATTTTACAATGTATACTTAAATAAATGTGTGACATTGGTAAAATCAAAAGTAATGAACTATATCAATATATATTTAACTTGTATTTGATTAGATCATGTATATATTACATATAAAATGTTACATATAATACATGTTAACATTAAAATTTAAGAAAAAATATGGATTTAGTTTTTCTTCAGACAAGACACTTCATATTTTCTCATATCTATAAAGTTGAAAGAACTTTATGTTTATAATACAAAAGAGTCAAAAGAGTTTAAAGAACAACAAAATATTTAAAATCAATGAACCATCATTTATCGAAAACCATCTACACAAATGTTCCAGGTATGTGACTAAAAGTTAATTAATTCATACCTTTTAGTATATCTATTTTTTTCTTTAGAAGAGGGTGTTCAGCTAGTCTTGCAATTGCTCTTTCAGTTGCAGAAGAATCTGGCTACAAAGTGGAAAAAAAAATATATAATGACATTAAAACAACCAGTGCTGACAAATGTTATGCATTCCTCAAGAAGCTGCCTTTCAAGTTATGAGGGACAAGAAGGTCCTAGTTTATAGAAGCTGCTAAATCCTTAACTGTTTCTCAGGGTGTTTTTCCCCCTTGCAGTTGATACAAATTTGCTTCAAAGATAATCTGCGGTATAGGGACATCTTTATTTGTAAAACAGTTCAATGTGGTTAACTACTCTCATTATATAGGTTAATCTCATCTGTTTTAGGTAAAAATTTTCAAGAATGGCAAATAGATTTTGATTAAAAAGTATTCGTACACCATTTTTCAAAAACACTTCTACTGTTACTTCTAAATCCCTGCTTTTTAGTTATAGAAAGTTTTAGAAGAGCAATGGAAATACTTGAATGTCTAGTGTTGACTCTAAGTAAATACTATTTTATTAATCTTTTTATATCATTAGATTCCCTGCCTTAGAAGATGCCTCAGAATATCTGGGATTTAGTAATCGCATTTCAGCATAGTCTATTAATAAGACTATAGTATGGTACTATAATTCTAAAATTATGTATAAATACAATTAATGAACATCTTCTAATTTGTTCTTACTCTACAACTGTGGCTTTATGTTGAAACCGCTGTGGAGAATTAAGCATTTTGTTGATGGGATAGTTGCTTTTAACAAGATATGAAGAGCCAGGCATGGTGGTGCACGCCTGTAATCCCAGCACTCGGGAGGCTGAGGCAGAAGGATCACTGTGAGTTCGAGACCAGCCTGGGCTACATAGTGAGTTCCAGGTCAGTCTCAACTACATAGTGAGACCCTGTCTCAAAAAACCAAAACAAACAAACAAACAATAAGATATGAAACATATTCTGAGGTTTTATATTTCTTAGAAATGTGGCTTATTCAGAGAAAGGATGAAGTTTGAAGTTTAGGCATATGACTTCCTGTAATACATTTTGTGTCTCTGGGCAAGTTTTGAATAGCTATAAATCCAAAATCTAGTTCATACTATTATAACAGTTACCCAAGTAGGAATATAAGTCTGTTTAAGAACAACAGATAGAAGTTCTTATTCATTTAACCGGGAATCTAAAAAAATGATGTCTGGTTGTTATGTACTATATCTACTTTGTATCGTGTTCATGTACAGACAATTCAAAGAGTGCTTCTCATTAAAGTTAGTGCTAATTAAAAAATATTACTAGTATATTTGGAATATATAATAAATACATTCAGAATAGGGGCTGATTATGCATGGATGTGTATATATATACACGTACGTATTTATTATTGCATCTTGATCCTTTTTACTTCCCCTCTTTCCTCTCACCTTCCCTCTTAGATCTCCTTCCCATCTCCACAAAGTCTATCTCGTTTCCTACTTTTATCTGCTCATTAAATTATTTTTACTTTGGGTGTCAAACTGGAAATTTTTTGGATACCATACACTATGGCCAAACATCCTAGAAAATGAACTATTCCCCTTATGTTGAAATATAAAAAACATAATATAGATAAAGGATAAAACTCTTGTTTACTAGTAGAAGGTTCATGAAACTGACTTTTTGGGCAAAATTAGTATTCACCTCAGAGAATGAGCTCTATCATTTTTATCTGATGCAGTGACTGAGTGGAGAGTAAAATACGTTACCAAAATGTTTGATTTGGAAAAGTTCCTTGTTACAGAAATGGGAAAAAACAACAGCCAGAGATGGTAAGTAATCTGTGTGAAATTAATGAAACTACTGCCAAGGGAACACTAGCTGAAATTCAAGATCTTAGGAAAAAAGGCTCTTCCTTTACTCAACAGGAACCTTGGCAGACAGTGAGAATACAACTAATAACGAGAATATTATCAGTCACTTACTAGAAGTATATCAAAATTGTCAACACAGAAGGAAAAAATAATGCTCAAGTACCAATTAAAATACTATTACTATAACTGTAATAAATTATAAGCTAGAATGTATAAAAGAATTTGTTATAATAAGTGAAACTTTCACTGAAATGAAAATCACTTAAGGCATTCGCAAACATCAGAGGTAACTATCAGAGGTATACATATTATCATATCATATACATGCATATATATATAGCACATGTATATGTCCTTCATATATATCTGCTCTTCAAAGTTCCTTATATTTAGCTTCTAGCTATTTTCATTTAAATTGTATTTGTTCCTGATGGCCTATACTGATTTTCAAGTCTAAGGTGCTTACAATCTGGGGAGTAGAAAAATATTCTAATGGAGAAAAACAGACAAATGGAAGAACTTAACATATGTATATAAATGCTTTGTAAATACTAAGAATTAAAGTTTACGTTTAATTCAAAATTTAATACAAATGTAACGTGCACTTGTTAATGTGTTTTTTGTCTTAGAATATCAATTTCATAAATTGTAGCAATTATTCAAACAAGCTTTTAAAATTCTTCCGGAGTAAAAAGGTAAAATTTAACATTTAAATATTTTAATTGATTTTATTATTTCAAAGCAATTTTTATTTTAATTTTATTCTTAAGAATTTATTTGTAGAAAAATCCTTAACTTTTTAAATTTAAAAGTTAACCAAGGCCAAGGGTGATACAAGTCAAAGGTTTTATTTATCAAAACACTGACAATCTAGACTTGATTGCTCGATTATTTACCAGTTAGGATCAAGGTCAGTTTCTGAATTTAGTCAGATGTTCCTAAATTACTTTCTAGCCACTTAACTTTCACTAATTACTCAACTCTAAATGCTTTTCTTACATTACAAATTCGGTAAAGCCCTCTTCAAATTTTTTGGAAGGAAATAAAAACAAACATTAACATAATAAATAAGCTTGCGAAGCAAGTGGGCTGATTCCTTCTATTGGCAAAGTTTGGGTCTTCGTTGTATTACATAGTGCCTGCATGTTTCTCACCAATACTGTTAAGCTAAGTGCAGAACTCACAAGAATGACGAGAGAAAACAGTACTACAAGAGACTTCACGTTCTTGTTTCCTCCTTATTTCTCTTCTGTATCTTTTCTCCCCTCCCATACATGTTCTTTAAATTTACTGACCCCTCATCACATAAAAGCATCATCTTACATATGAAGATATAAGTACAATTTATTGAGACTCACAATGCACTCTAATTTAAAAATTAGACTCCTGAAGTAAAAGATGAAATCAAAATTGAGTAATTGAAATGAACAGATGTTTTTCTTGTTGGTTTTAGTACCAGCGATCGAATTCTGGACCTTGCTCATGCAAGGCAGGCAGCAGAACCACTGAGCTAAATCCCCAGTTGCCAGATGTTCTTCAAAAGAAGTGCAAATGGTCAATAAGTACATGAAAACATATTTAGCATTTCTGGCCCTATAGGTATGGAAATCAAAACAACACTAAATATCGAAATTCTAGGGCCAGGGATTTGGCTCAGTGGTTCCGGTGCCTGCCTTGCAAGCACAAGGACCTCAGTTTGATCCCTGGTACCACACACACACACACACACACACACAAAGAAATTATATTTGGAATATCTTCCAGAAAGAATAAAAACAATCATTTTAAAATGATACATTCATACCCATATTTATAGCATTACAATTCATAGTAGCTATATTTTAGATGTAACATATATGCCCATCAACAGATGAATGGATAAAAATGTAGAACATATACAAGAGAGTACTACTCAGCCATCGTAGGAAGGAAAACGGACACGTATTGAGAACTTATAGTAAATGATATAAATCAGACACAGAAGATTAAACATCACATGGTTTCCCTTATATTACCCAAAATATAAACACTTTAAATAGCAAAATAAAACAGAGATGACAGGAAATGGAAAGGAAGATTCTGTAGAGATTTGGAAATGGTAGGTAAAAAAAGGGCTAGGGCAGAGGGAAGTAAAAGTGATTAAGATATTCACATTATCAAATTATCAAATTAAATTTGCTACTAGCTTTATTTTATTTCTGCATAAAACTATATTCATATACTCTAGCTCTCAATATTTTTTAATATTTCATGTAATATATAAAAATTTAGTAGGCACAATGTAAGAAAGTATAGTTCTTTTTATAAGACTGATAAGATGTGACATATATTTTTTTCTTCAAGATGAATAAAACTAATATATTTTAAAGAAATATATGAAATAAAAATCTAAGACAAATGTACAAGTGATTTTTCCAAGGCAAATGTGATAAATTTCACTCGAGAGAAAATGTTATGGAGCTACATAAGGAATACAATTAGAGTGATACATCTTAAATTTAAGTAAATTTATTTTGAAATTTAAGAGCTACTAAGTAATCTCTATGAGCAGTTTTTATACCTGCATGAACAAGCCTCACAATAATGGGAAGTATAAAAGAAACCACAACTTTTCTTATTTAAAATTGTCCCAAGGTTTGCCTCAGAAAATTCTCAGGAAACTGTGGTTTCCACATGCCTCCAGTTCAAATGAAAACATAGAAAACACACTGTCTTTAATGGAAAAATTTTATTTTTGCATACGGATGATCATTGTTATCACAAATACATCTTGTATTCATTTTGCAAAGAATTTTAAAAATGTTACCTTGAATGTAAACAAGTTTAAAGGCACACACACACACACACACACACACACACACACACACACACACAAAACAGCCCAAAAACCCCAAACCCAAAAATATTCTTATGTGCAGTATTAGCTCTGTGAAAAATCTTGCCTAAAATGACTCTCAATGAATTGGCAGAAATAGAATGTTAGTATAAGTACTTTTAATATTAATTGGGCTTTATTTTGCTTCTAGGTTTTATCTAAAATTATACTTCAACAATTAACAACTGCATTTATCCAAAATATTCAGCAAGATAACTGGAAATGGTCCATTTGGTTGAACCACAAGAATTGAGGCAAACTCTGCATCCATATTTTGGAGGTAATAACATTTTTCAAGAATTAATTATTATCATATATAAACTCAACTGAGATTTTTGAATTATTTCCTGAAAATAAGTGACATATTTTATACAGAAGGCTAAAGAGCTATACCTTCTTTCATGGTACCTCCTGAATTCTTCTCTATTGGATAAAATATTAAAAAATAGTGGGCCGGGAATTTAGCTCAGTTGTGCCGCCACCTGCCTTGCAACAGCAAGGTACTCAGTTTGATCCCCGGTACCAAAAAAACTGAGACCTAGGATATATGAATAAAGTTTTATACAGAAATAAAATCAAGTGTATAGCAAAATTAAATTGATAAACACATGAGATGTTATATGTAAAAATTACTATGAAGGGTAAGGAAATCATAAATAATAAAACTAGTCATTTAAAGGCAAAGGATTTTAATAATATAAGCCAACTTTTCCTCAATCAACTAGAGAAAGTAATTGTGTATGGCATGGGTATTATTTCTCTTCTTATTGAAAGGAGAGCCAGGCCAGAGATTTGGCTCAGTGGTTCTGCCGCCTGCCTCCTAAGTGCTAGGGCCCGAGTTCGGTCCCCGGTACCAAAAAAAAAAAGAGTCCTACTGAAGTTGAAGTTCAATTTCATCAAAGTTGCCTGTCAGGTCCATTTTTAAGGGACAGTATCACTTATCGTCAGATAAAACTTGAATTGTTGCAGCTCCCCTACCTCCAGTGCCCTGGGCCTCGATCAGAGCAGACTGGTGAGGACTGCCCAGCCACGCAGGCACCTCTACAGAATTCCCCCCACCACCCACTGTGCCTTCCAGCCTCCTGGTTGTGCCGGTACCTAGATCCACACTGCAGAAGAATCAACATAGTGAAAACAGCCATACTACCAAAACTGCTATACAGATTCAATGGAATACTGATTGAAATTCCAACACTATATTTCACAGAACTAGAAAAAATAATCCAAAAATTCATTTGGAACAAGAAGAGACCTAGAAGAGCAAAAGCAATCCTAGGCGACAGAGACATGACAGGGGTATCACAATCCCTAATGTGAAACTATACTACAAAGCTACTGTTATCAAAACAGCATGGTGCTGGTAAAGAAAAAGGCCAGAGGATCAGTGGAATACATTGGAAAATACAGAAACAACTCCAGATGTACTCAGCTACCTCATCTTTGACAAAGGAGCCAACCATCCTCAGTGGAGGAAAGATAGCCTCTTTAATAAATGGTGTTGGAAAAAGTGGATTTCAACCTGTTCAAGATTAAAACTAGACCCTTATCTTTCACCATTCACTGAACTAAAATCCAAATGGATTAAAGATCTAAATAATAAAACAGAAACACTAAAATTTCTGGAAGATAAGTTAGGCAGAACCCTTGAAGATAATGACACAGGAAAAGACTTTATGAACAAATCTTCAGTAGCATGGGAACTAGCACAAAGAATCAACAACTGGGATCTCATCTTATTAAAAACTTCTGCACTGTAAAAGAAACCACTAACAGAGCTGAGACAATCTACATTGTGGGAAAAACTTTTTACCAGCTACTCCTCAGAATAAGGACTATTCTCTAGAATATATAAAGAACTCAAAAAGTCAGGCCCCCCAAATATAAAGACCTGATTCAAAAATGGGCTTAAGAAATGAACACACATTTCTTAGACAAAGAAGTAAAAGCAGCAAATAAATACATGAAAAAGTGTTGAACATCACTGGTTATTCAAGAGATGCAGATGAAAAAAAACACTGAGATTCCACCTCACCCTAGAAAGAATGGCTGATACCAAGAAATCAACCAATAGTAAATGTTGGCGGGGTTGTGGGGAGAAAGGAACCCTTCACCATTGTTGGTGGGAGTGAAAACTGGTGTAACCACTGTGGAAATCAATATGTAGATACCTCAAAGAACTAGGATTAGAGGTTCCATTTGACCCAGCTATCCGTTTGTTGGGTATCTTTCCAAAAGAATTTTAAGAATCATACCACAGTGATATATGCACACCCATGTTTATAGCCGCACAGTTTGTAATAGCTAAAACTTGGACACAGCCCAATTGTACATCAGTTGGAGACTGGATAAAGAAGAGGTGGTTTTTTGATAAAATAGAGTACTACTCAGCCATAAAGAATGAGAAACTAGAGTCATTCATAGGAAAATGGATGCATATTGAGGCCAGAGTTCTCAAGTGAAAAAAATAAGAGACACATGGTTAAATACTGAATAGCTTCTCAGGTGTGAAAAACTAAAAGTGCAAATAAGTTCCAAATTGTATAAATGATAATGTGAAATAGGAAGAAAAGGGCTAAAGGTATAGGGGAAGTGAGAAGGGTAAGGGAAAGGAAATAAGGGAAAAGAAAAAATATGCAAAAAGGAAAAATTGGAAACAAAGTCTTTGTAAATAGAGGAGGGGGGAAGGGGTGAAGCGATGGCAGGGGTATGAGGAAAAAATGCGAACCAAGATCTGCCATGTAAAGGTACAAGATCCCAATGATGAATGTAACTATACTGTATCCTTAAAAAGTACCAATAAACTCAATGAAAAAAAAAACAAACCCAAAAAACAAACAAACAAAAAAAACTCTTGCCTTAAATCCCAATTACACTGTCTTTGGATCCTACTGCCAAAACGGCATCAATTCTTAGATTTACTGGTTCCACAACATAGAAAGTATATATATATCCCACAATCAAGTAAAGAAGAGTCATATATAAAAAACAGAACAATGAAAAAATGGAAGTAATATTGAATGCCATGTATTTATAATGAACTCTAGGTAAGCAATGGCTAACTTTATTCAGAGCAGTTTTTTAAAATCTATCCTTTTAACACCATGAAGCCAATGAGAGACCATATGTTTCAAGGACTTCAAGAGATTACAAATATATAATATATGAAGAAAATATCAAATAAAAGTAGGTAGAAAGAGATGAAAAGGGAAAAGATTACACTCCCATAATGGAGAAGAGTAATTACATACACCACGTCTTAGGATATAGTACACCTTATTGCACACATGGCTGCATGTAAAGCTAGGGAAATAAATGGCCTTAGATACTTAAGTTGACTGATGTGACAAGGAAAGTTTAAGCCACCCAAATACATCCAGATTTCACTTAGTTTTAAGGTAATATTTAATTATTGGCAGTATGCATGGTACATGGTGCTTATCAAATATATTCATATAAAGACTAACAGGAGAAAATGTAAATTAGAGGCAAAGATCAGTGAAACCAAAAACAAAAACATAGAGACAAATAAGTGTTCTGACTAGGAATTCTCTTGTGCAGGCATGAGCAAAGTGGATGAAAAGAAAAGGGGAAACAGCAAGAAAGAAACAGCAGTGCCAAGTACAGAGCAGAAGATGTAGGTAACAGTACTACTAACTGCCATATGATAGAATTACAGCATTAACCAGATTTCATTCTTTTTTAATCTCTATTTACCTCAATTATAAAAAGGGAGCTAAAACAAATCTTTTACAAGGTAAAGCAGAAATTAAATGAGGAACTTACAAAAATTTGAAAAGGACAAGAATAGATTCTTAGAGTAGTTAATTTTTAAGATTTATATAAAATATGAAATACTGTATTAAGCTCAATATCACAGCAAAGTAAAATTTATAAATTATCATACAGACATTTTCTGTGGCAATTCTAAAACTCAGTGAGGGAAATTCATATACTAATAGCAACTGGCTTCTTGATAAGTCTTCTCTTTAATGAAAAAGGTGATGGTAAAAAAGGAATACATATAAAAAGCTCTTCATAAAATAAATATAATCTATTGTAGATATACCTTTTTGCAGATCTTTCCAAAATTGATATCATCACCAAGAGCAGATTTAGTTACTGTATCAGGTTTCAGTTCCTATGAAAGAAAAAAAAAAAACATAAAAATTTTAGTTTTGAGTCTAATTTTAGCTGTCATTGTAAGTTAAATTCCTTTCCAGGTCTTGCTTTAAGAAACTTGACATTAATTAAAATCTTAATTTTTTAAAAGGAATAACACATAGAAATTTCCATGCTACTGAGAAAGCCATAACAAAATAGTTTTAAGGGCTAAGTTTTGTTAAAACGTATACAAATCAAGTATAATGAAATATTTTCAAGGAACTCCAATACATAATCAACTGTAACCCAAGGACTTTATGCTCAAGTAGCTCATTAAATATCAAGTCTATAAGAAAACAATGTTGAACTTTGAAGAATTCAGGGAATATTACTCACATGTACTTCTCCAGAGGAATATTCTAGAGGACAGCCCACAGCAAAGAACTTTGATAAAAGGACCACTGGTTTGTACTTGTAGAGTAACAGCTAAAATAAGTAGATGGGAATACGAGAAAGTATAGTAGGTAAATGCTACATGTTTGGACTGAAGAGAAAAAGCTAACTGAAAAGAAGAGTTAGAGGAAGGTGGAACAAATAGACAAGTGTCAAAGAATATCACTGAAAATGGACAATCATACAGATCTAGGAGGAACACTTCTGCCCCAGCGCCAGGGTGTGCAACAATTTTTTAAAATAAAAAATTTAAATTGATGGGTTATAGTATCTCTCTGTAATGCACTCCTGAGAAATAAAACCTGTGCCAGATTTCACCAAACAAGTAGGTAGGCTATTTATTCAAGCACCAATGAATTTCCTTATAAACTTCCACCCTGACATGGAAAGTGGAAGGAAGAGGCAGCTGGTCACCACCTGAGCTTGGCATGCTGGCTTCAACAGAAAAGTCATATGGGAAGGAATCAAGGGATGACCTAGGAAGTTAGTCGCCTTAAGAAACAATCCAAGCTCTGTGGCACGCATACCAGTGAGGGACCTGGTGGCAGAGGACAAGCTGTGTGGCATTATAACCTTATATATATATATTCTTCTTGGATAATCTTTGTCATACACTGCTTCCATTTCCATGTATCCTTCAATCAAAAATATAATGTAACAGTACAATAAACTAACAAAATAGATTAGAAAATGCACGATTACATATAAAATAGGAAAGTAAGGTCACTGAAAGTGCTACAGCAGTAGCCATTGTACAAAAGCATATAGTTCTAAATATCAAAAGAATTTTTTTGAAAATTGCAATGATGACATATCTAGTAAAGAAAGAAAGAGTAACTATACCAGAATACTCAGTAATTAGAAAACATGAGAGTATAAACATCAGAAATCCAACAATGTGAATTAATTTAATCTGCCTTTTTTCTTTTTGGTACCAGGGATTGAACTTGACCTTGCGCTTGCAGAGGCAGGCACAGTGCCACTGAGCTAAATCCCTGGCCCTACCCCGTCTCTCAGGAGAAAAAGATCTTTAACTTGGATAAAGAGGAAAACCCAGCTCTATGCCGTAAAGTCTGTAAGAGATACATAAGAACATGGCTATTTCAAAAGGCTAAAAACAAAGTGGTGGGCAAAGATTAACCAAATTGGATTCACTAAAAGGCACATTGTCAGGCAAAGAAGAGAAGATTTCTGACTATACTACCCAGGCATCAAATAAAACACAGCAATTAATTACATAAAGAAAAAAAAACTGCAGAAAAAGAAAAATATAAAAACTATTAACAAGAAACCTTGACACATTACTCCCAGTCTAAGAAAGTTCAAACATGAAAAACTATTTACCAAGACATTACTAACATAGTTACTGTTAGGGTTTAGATCTAGATAACCATCCAAAGCCTCATGTGCTCATAGGTGGGGCTCGTGTTAGAGGCCCCTGTAGCTGGCTTCCAGTTAGGAGGTGGGGTATGGTTAGTGAGGCAGAGGACTTGGAAGGGTATCTCTCCTACCTAGCCTGCTTTATCTCTCTCTGCTGCTGGCTGCCATAACATGAACAGCTTTATGCCATGCAGACCCTTCTGCCATGCCCTTTTAAAAAAAAATCATTAAGTTTATTGGTACATTTTAGGTATACATAATGATTACATTCATTATAGGGAATTTGTACCTGTATAGGATTCATGTTGATTCTTTTTTCCCATTTCTCTCCTCTTCTAACACCTCATATCCTCCTTTATAGGAGCTTTGTTTCCATTTTTTTCCTTCTTTCCTCATTTTCTTTCCTTTCCCTTCCTCCTCCCGCTAGTTCCCTTTCCCATTTGAACATTTTCTTCCTATTTCACAATATCTATTATACATTTTGGTCCTTTTTTATACTTTTGGTTTCTCACACCAGGGAAACACTACAGTATTATTTCAGCATCACACACCTAAATGAGAAAGGCCTCTCTTTAGGAGTGACCCTAGGCTAGTTCCTGGGAAATGACCTCTGAGAATGTGGGCTACAGGATATTTATGATCAGAGAGTTACTGTTAACAGTGAAATTTAATGTGAATGTCTTTGCTTTGAGAAGCGGAAGTAAAAGTTTAGCTGTGCAGAAAATTCACACTTATGTAACTTGTCCCCAGTTAAAATCTCTGGGTCTGGATGGGAACACTTTGTACCTGCTGTCACATCACTGATGGGTGTGTGTCCACATGACTTCAGAGGCAGAGGACCTGTGGAAACTTATACCTGGTTTTTTATGAACTCCCCCTCCTTGCTAATTTCAATCTGTATTCTTGTATAGTAATAAACTGTAATTGTGAGTTTAACAGCCTTTGTTGTGGATTCCACTAATGAATTACTGGGCCTTAAAGTAGTCTCGGGGACTCAGGACTCACTCAAAAATCATGATCACAGAAAGTTTAAAAGACTAATTTCAAAGTACCGCAGCAGGGCTAGGACAAGAATTGCTTTTTGCCACATCCCAATGTCAGTAATAAATTACACATTTTAAGTCCTTCCTAATTAAATTAACATTATTCAAGCTTTCTACACTAAAGATTATCACACATTAAAAACTAGATCAGAAGAACTTCAGTTCCCTTATTCTGCACTGTGTGAGAAGCTACTGCTTTGCTAATAAGCAAAATAGCAAATTTAATTAAAATCAGGTAATCTAAATTGGTTGCTTATTTGGATATAGCTTTGTTTTCTCTCCAGATATTTGTTTGAACAATCTAAGATACTTATAACCATTAAGCCAGTGCAGTTGGTTCTGCAGTAGTAAAAGTATGTTTGTAATCAAACTATTTTTGTATCAGGCCATGGGCAGGAGATTATCATAATATAAAAAGTTACTGCAAGGTAGTTAACCATGCTGACTTTTTTAATTCCAAGAAGATTTCATTGTGGTTGGGCTTTTAACTTAACAGCATACAAGAGACTTTTGCGTGTAACAGATGGAATGTGATGTTTAGACTGAGAAAAGAAATTTTAAAATGCCAGGAAAAATATGAATGCTAGATTTTTGGTATATGTGGAAATGAACCAAATAATGTATTTCTCCGAAATAACTCATGAGAGTGCTACTGATATCCCGATCTTCGTATTTTTTTATAGATAGGAATTCTTATTATGGTTATCCTTCAGTGACAATAAATAATTCATTTTCTAAATAATATTCTGCTCTTTCTTTTTTTCAGTACTGGGGATCGAACTCAGGACCTTGCACTTATGAGGCAGGCGAGGTGCCACTGAGCTAAATCCACGGCCCTGTTCTGTTCAAATATATTTTACTACAGAAACCCTGAAATAAAACTATAGTCTATCATTATATTGGGAAGGTGTTTTTCCAAATAAAATACCACTGTCTTCCTCCTATCCCTATTCCTGTGTTCTTTAATGCAGCCAATGGCCTCTCCATCCTCTGCTGCTCAGATGAGACACCTATGAGTCATCTATCTGACCCTTCAGAGCCCCTTTATTATGATTCTTCGATGTTGCTCTATTAGATTAACATTGTCATATTATTAAAGACAACTAAGTTAAGTAAAAATACTACAGGCAGTCAGACAGGGCTGGGCCCTCGACAGAGCAGAAACACATTATAACCGTACCCAGGAAACATCTGTCAGAGGTCAGGCCTCAAGATCAAGATGAAATGACCAGGTCTGCATACCTCCCCAAAGCACAAGGTAAGTGGTAACACTTGGCCTAATGAAGTGTAGCGTGACATCAGTCACCGTATCCATGATTTCCTAGAAAAAGTCTTTGTTCTTTTCATAAACATTTGTTATGAGACTAGTCCCCCCACTGAATCACTAATACCTACGTGACTATACTTGTAACCTTATGCTTTAACTCGTGGTTTTTGCTCTATAAAACTTACCCTGAAAAGTGGGGTCCCTGGCTACCCATTTGGGTCCCCTCCTTCCTCTCAGGAACTATCTTCTCAATAAACATTTCATACTCTTAAACTCTGTTGTTCCTAGAATCCATTCTTCGATTTTAGAGAACACAAACTCAGTGTATCAGACACCTAACAGGTCAGGAATTTCCCCCTGTATCAGTTGGAGGTCCTATTTTATCTACTATATCATCCCTGTATCACCACTCCTAGGCTTAGTACTTCCTTATGGATTGTATAGATTATAATAACCTGGTTTTCCCGTCTGCAGGACCAGTAACTCTAAGGCATATTATGTCACTGTTCTGAAGACAAGAAAGAAATCAAACATCTTCAGACTGACATTAAAAATTTTTTTGATTGTCCTAATATTTTTTGGTTCTACTGTTGTAATATGTTTCTTCTAGGATCAATCAATCCATGCTGTTTTGAATATATTAAAAAGAACTGAATACATTTTCTATTCTCCTACCATACCAAATACCACTAAACTAAAGCAGGAAAATTATATGTCCTACAGTTAATTTCCTGTGCCAGAAAAAGACTAGTGGGGTTCAAAACAGACTCTCAAAAAGGTTGTGCAAGTTGGCTTATAGGGGTGACCACTTGCTGAATTTAGGTGTCAGAAGGAATAATGACAGCAAAGGATCATAACCATGTTGATCACATAGTTTCATATTAAAACATGAAC